ACCTGATCAGTGAATTAACACCAGATGAATGCCACTTGAATTGATTAAAGGTAACTATAGGCAGTAACTATAGGCAGATGGGGAGTGGCTAGAGGAGGGTGATTACAGTAGGACCTGCTTTTGGGGTTTATTTTGTCCCTTGTGAGCAGAGCTTTCTCTGCTTCCTGGTGCCATTTCCTAAGCTGCTTTCCTCCTTCATATCTTTATGCTGTGATCTGCCTCACCTTGGGCCCAGAGTTATGGGGTCAGCTATCTATGTATTGAGACCTCCGAAACTGTGGGCCAAAATAAAGTTTTCCTCCTTTTCAATATTCTTGTCAGGTCTTCTGTTCACAGTGATGAAAAAGCTGGCTAAAACACCCACTGATGCTATATTATATTTGAGAGTTACTCAAGAAACGATTCAGCCATTCTTTCCACCAAATAGACCCATGCCATTCTACCTTGGATAACTGCAGTGTTAGAAGTGTGTTGATTTTCTGAAAAGGAAACAGAAATTCTTCTTTAATAGTTGTCATGACTATAGCTTCCTAGAGAACATAGTGGTCAACCTTGTGCTGATACTGGGCAGTATAAGAGAAAATATAGGAGAAGAACATATGCTTTACTATAATAACTAGTAGAAGAAATATGAAAAGTTGTATCTGTTGAAAAGAAATACATCCAGTACCCCACCTAGTACTAATACAAGAATGATAAATGGTCATATTTCAAACACATTTTTCAAAAACTCAGATCCAATGAAAGTTTGTTTTAATGACAAGCAGTCAACATTAGAGGAGAAAGAGGGTTTCCCTGCCACTGGAAGAAGTAAAATTTCTTGAAATGGAGTTCATGAATGACATAATACAAATTATATCCTTAAACTTTGTTATTCAAGGAGTAGCCCATGGAACAGCAATGTCAGCATCACCCAGGAGCCTGTGGGAAATGAATAATCTCAGACCCTATCCCAGACTTACTGAATCAGAATCTCCTTTGTATCAGGATGCCCAACTTATGTGTAGGTATATTAAACCTTGAGAAGCACTGCCTAAAACAAAATAGACCATGAAGTTTCAGTGCTGTTTTTTACTATGATCTTTGTCAGAGAACATTTGAAATGCTCCAGATCCAGCTACAGATTCAGTTTCATGAATCTCCCAACAGATCCATATGTAATTTTTTTCTATGAGAACTGGAAACAAAAATGACAATTGACTACACTTAGGAGATCATTGGGTAGCAGAATGAACACTAAGCTTGGAGTCAGAGTATTGCTTAATTCCTGACATACTGCAAGGTGGGTGAACTTGAAGAAGATGCTTTATTTAGTTGTCTTTTTTTCTACTTAAAATTTTTGATCAATAATACCTGTGTCATGTGTTGTTTAAGAGATTGGACAGAGAATATGTAATGTTTAAATTCATCTAAATTTGATCTCAATTGGAAGTAGCAGCTGTTGCTTGAGGGAGCACCTCTGAATTTCCTCCCAAATCCCAATATTAATTTCTCTTTTCTGGTTAACTGTATAGTTTATTGTCACAAAGGTAATAAGCAAGTTGACATCGACTGCATTAAGACATTTCGGCTCACATTTTCTCAGAGCCATAGCCTCTTAGGTCTCATCATGAACTGACTATTATTCACTCTGACCAGATTTATCTCCTAAATTAGTTGTCTTTCAACACAATAATGTTGGTGAGACGATATTTCCTTGGTCTCTCCGTAATTAGAGGATTCCTGATAACTTTAGAGATGTTTATGACCATCTGTCATGTTGTGCCTTACAAATTCTGAGTTCTATCTAGCATCAAATAAGTAATACAAAAGGTTCTTCTCATTTAGATATATTGACCATTTGTCCTTTTATATTTTGATTTTTAGTCTAGCACATTCCTGGATTATTCTGATTTATCCAAGTGTAATTTTTAATACTCTCATCTCACTTTAAAAAATAAAGTGTCCCAGATTGTATGACAAATTATATGGTCACCTATAAGAAGGTGATTTTAGCTCTTCAAAGTTAAACAGAAAAATGCTGCAACAATTCCCTTGTTTTACCCAACTAACTCTTTAAAAAGCTGCTTCTGATATTGAGTCCTATAATCTGTTTCAGACCTCTTAAACTTATACTGAGCCTAATATTTTCTGTTGGCATTCCATACTCTCTTATCTTCTCTTCTATTGTAGGTTATTAAAACATGAGACTGAATATGCCAGACTACCTTACCAGCTGAGGTTCATACAAATTTTAACTTTTATGCTAAGGTGTATTAGTGTGATGCTGATAAAGCAGAGGAGAAGCAAAATTCATTTTCTTTCTTCCTCATTAACTCAATAGTAGACTTTTAGGATTACTGATTACATGTATGTATTTTATTTGTTTGTTTGTTTTCTGCAGCCTCGGAATTCTACAACCATTTCATCTGCTTTAAGGTGGAGAAAGATCTAGATAATTGGCAATGATTTCATGCAGATCCCTGAACTTGGGCAGCAGCAACTGTAAACTTCTGTACATGTGAAGAGAAAAGCTAGTGGCAACCAGCAGGAACTTCACCCCTTTAATTCCTTCCACTGCTTTGTTGTTGTTCCTTTGTGTGTTGTTGAAATTTTAACAACAACCCCATTGAACTATAGTTGACATAATTAATTGCATGTATTTAAAACACCACTTATAATCTTTTTCCCTCCTCTTTAAAACCAGCACCACCCCAAGGTAGCTAAATGTTTTTTTTTTTGTCACTATACATTTGTAAATTTTACATAAATGTAAACATTTATTAGGTACTTTTTTCCCTGTTTTCACTTACTATAATGGTTTTTGAGATTCATCAGTTTTGTTGCAAATACCATGTATAGGGGTCCTCCAGAGAGACAGAGCCTCTGAGATATACTGTTAAGGAAGGAAGTTATCTTTAGTGCTCAGTCTTTTTTATCTTTTTTATGTAAATTTTTATTTATATAGGACAGAAGAATGCATTACAATTCTTATTACATATATAGAGTACAATTTTTCATATCTCTGGTTGTATACATAGTATATTCACACCAATTCTTGTCTTCATACCTGTACTTTAGATGATAATGATCATCACATTCCACCATCATTAATTACCCCATAGCCTCTCCCTTCCCTTCCAACCCCTCTGCCCTATCTATAATTCATCTATTCCTCCCATGCTCCTTGCTCCCTATCTTACTATGAATCAGCCTCCTTATATCAAAGAAACCATTCAGCATTTGATTTTTTGGGATTGTGCAACTTCACTTATCATTATCTTCTCTAACTCCATCCATTTACCTGCAAATGCCATGATTTTATTGTCTTTTATTGCTGAGTAATATTCCATTGTGTATATATGCCACATTTCTTTTATCCATTCATCTACTGAAGGACATCTAGGTTGGTTCCACAGTTTAGCTATTGTGAATTGTGCTGCTATAAACATTGATGTGACTGTGTCCCTATAGTATATGCTGTTTTTATGTCCTTTGGGTATAGACTGAGGAGAGAGACAGCTGAATGTGTGCCTAATGTAGAACTGAAGATATGGCTCCCAATCATGATCTTCCCTCCCTTCTCACACATCTGCCTCTTTTCCTACTCTGAGATGCACCCCTGTCTCAGAGCCTCTATCTTTCTCAATGGTATATTTAGAAAGTTATTAATTAGGGGAATTGGCTCATGAGATCACAGAGGATGATAAGTTCCACAATATAACATCTACAATCTAGAGAACCAGAAAAAGACAAAGGCTCAGTCCAAATCCAAAGGCCTCACAAGCAGGGGGGCTGATGGTGTAAGTATCTGGGTATTCCTTAATTGAAGAATAGTCTCATTCCTAAAATTAACTATAAAAAACAGATTTCATCATCTTGTATTACTGTGTGGCATTTTATTCTAAGGCTATGCCACAATCTGTTCACCCAAACACCTATTGGTATAAATTTGCATTGTTTCCATTTTTTGTCATTAAACATAAAGCTGTGATGAACATTGGTATACAAATCTTTGTGTGGGTATGCTTTTATTTTCCCTAAATAAACATCTAAGAGTACAATGGCTTAATTGTATGGAAGCTTTGTTCAACTTTTTAAGAAACTACTATGCAGTTTTCCAAAGTGATTATACTATTATATATGAATTTAAGTGGCTCTACTTCTTGAACAACCTTTATTATATATTATTCATATAATTAATATTATTTGTTTTTAAAAGAACTTTCAGCCATTCTAGTAGAAGAGAAATGGGATGGTTAAAATCTCCATCAAAATTTAAATACATTTATATTAGCTCAGAGGGATTTAAGGTAAGCTATACAAAATACTAAGTAATGTTGAAGGATAGTAGAAAACAGAATGAATAATGGGGAAAAGGGTAGCTATGGGGTTTAACCTGGAAAAAATAACCTCTCTTTGCCAGAGAGCCTCCAGAATTGAACCTGGACAGATAAGGAGGTCAATTTAGGGAGGGGATTGAACTCAGGGCCTCACACATGCTAGGCAAGCACTTTAACACTGAGCCACTTCCCCAGCCCCTCTATAGAGGTTTTTGATCTGGTACTTCATGATATCAAAACTGCATTATGGGGCTGGGGCTATAGCTCACAGGTGTGAGAGGGACTTAATACTATCCTCACCACCACATAAAAATAAATAAAGATATTGTATGTTCATCTACAACTAAAAAAAAATTAGAAGCATGACTGCACATATGGTGCAACACTACATCGTGTACAACCATAGAAATGTAAAGTTGTGCTGAAATTGTGTACAATGAATCAAAATTAATTCTGTTATCATATATACCTAATTATAATAATTTTAAAAATAAAAATTAAAAAATTATAATACTGTGTCATGTAAATGCATATATTATATGTTAATTAAAATTTAAAACTTGAAAAGGTTAAAAACAAAACCTGCATTATGGCTTCCCAAGCATTTCTTACCTCACAGAGATGTCATAAGTGGTGCTTTGTGATGTCTAAGGCTGCCTAAGCCACCACTGCCTGGCAGGGACATATTGCTGGGCAACCAAATATAAGTGTGGCTCCTCATTTCCTGGGATGGTGTGTATAGTTAAATCAGGTACACTAGGGTAGAAAATTTCTTGACTTCATCATGACTAAGATGACCAGGAAATCATGGGAACCTAAAACAGCTATGGTAAAGGAGATCCCAAAGAACAAAGATAAGAAGAAAAAGAAGAAATCCCTTTATCAACTGCGACACAGAGAAAGCATCAAGGTAAGATGACTCCTTCCACATTGACTTTGTGCCCAAACCTTCACCTTATTGTTGCCTGACAACAAACCCCACATCAGCCCCCACACCTTTGTGAAGCCTCTCTTTCCATCTAGTTCTTATCTTCATTGTCTAAACTAGTGGTATATTGCCCTTACAGACACCAACAGTGAAGGTGAGAAGACATCATGAGAGTTCAAGAAATAGGTCTCGATCATATACCAATCATTCAAAAAAGAATAAAAGACCAAAAAGGCCAACAATATTCATTTGTTGCCATACACTAAATAAGAAATTGAATCAAAATAAGAGATGGAGTCAAAATAAGAAATGGAGTCAAAACAAGAAAAGTAATCTAAATAAGAGACAGAATGAACCTAAGAGAAGGAGTCAAAAGAAGAAGCAGAATAAAAACAGGAGACGGGTTTAACCAGCTCCCGAACAACAGCCAAAAATACCTGGACAGGTTTACAATTTCAAATAATAGACCTGTGTGGCCAGTAACAATAAAGAAAAGACCTAGAACTTAAAAGTATCTTTAGTGAATCCAGGAGCTCAACTTTTGAAAAAAATGGCCAGCAACAAAGCAGACTGATGATGGTGAAAAAAATAAAATAAAGTTATACAAAGGTTATGTGTGTATATCTGTGAATTCTGTGATGGTGGGATAGAAGGAAGTAAGAGGCAGATGTGTGAGAATGGAAGGAGGGATGGTTCTTGATGGCTTGAGAGGCATTCCAATCAGATCCACAGTAAGGCAGACATTAGGGATGAGGGTAAAGACTCAACACTGAAGAAAAATTTCTTCCTTATCAATGTATCTTAGAGGTCAAGGGGAAAATAAGGTGGTGCTACTAGGTATGTGTAGGGTGGGATGTGATATCAGGGTCTACATTGCTGGAATGCAGAATGAAAGGGTTTTATGTATGGATGGTGATTGACAAGCTCTCTAAACAAGGTAGCTTTTAGGCTACCTACCTCAAAGTGGTATTTCTTGCACTCTGTGATGTTATATTGAACCTCTTAAAAGTCATTACCAGCACATCTCAAGAAATAAAATAATATTGGAAGGCAGAAATCCAACACTCATTAGGCCACTTATTTCCTATAAAACTTGGAGAACAGCAGTGACCTTCCCAGGATGAAACTGTGGGAGTGGCACAACCTAGGGCAAATTACACAGAAGAAACTTCTGTACATAATTTTAATGCAAGAGTGAAAGCAAGTAAAACACTCCCCAACAAAATCTTGTATTGGTCTAAGTTTTAAGCATCTGTTATGGTTTAAGTTTTATAACTGGATGTAAAGTTCATTCTTCAACTAAACAAGAACAAAACCACACACACACACACACACAACACACACACACACAACCCAAATGAAAAATGCATAAGGGCTCTCACATGTTTTATAATGATATTCATGCTAAATGAAATAAGTTGCTGATGAGAAGTTTGTTGACATTTTTTTTGTTCCATTGTATTCAATATGATTTTTTATGGCTGTTTTTAAGTTTTTTCTGTATCATTGGTTTTGAGCATAGTTTACCTTTGTTCATATTTCTTTTGCTTGGATTAAAAGAATTTTTATCTCCTGGTTTATACTGTTCATCAAAATTTTGGTGAACTAGGCATGATGATGTATGCCTTTATTTTTTATTTTTATTTTTTCAGGAAACAGAATAATTGATGGCATAATGTCACAGTTGTGTGTTGTCTGAACACTCTGCTATACTAAAAGTACGGCATAGCATAGGTCTGTGTGAAAGCAAAGAGTAGAACATAAGCATTTTGGAATAAGAGAATCAAAGTCTAGTTTAAACATGTAAAGTTACTATCATTATGTTGGTAAACCACAGATTTTTTTCCTCTTATTGGTTTATGTTGCCCATAGTAAGTTCTATTTCTTTATTTATTTCCACCACAAAAACAAAGGTGTTCTCACAAGAGTCATACATTCCTGTACTGAAAAATTAGATTGTCAAATTTTTAGCACAGTATCAGTACTCACAATATTAACCAAAACATTTTGCTATTGATGTATGCCTTTAATCCCAACAATTCAGGAGGCTGAGGTGGAGGATGGCAAATTCAAGGCCAGCCTGGGCAATTTAGTGAGACTCTGTCTCAAAATAAAAATAAATAAATAAATAAATAAATAAATAAATAAATAAATAAATAAATAAATAAATAAAAAGAACTGGGATGTGGATCGGTGGTAAAGTACCCCTGGGTCAAATTCCATGTGCTAAAAAAATAGGGACCATCATTTCTTCAAATATTTTCTTTTTTTTTCTTCCTCTCCTTATCCTTTAAAGATTCTAATTGAATATATAATATGTTATTTGAAGCTGGCTCAACAGTTACTGATTTACTCTTCATTTTTTCCATCTGTTTTTCTCTTGTGTTTCATTCTAGATTGTTCATTTTTTCTGTGTTTACAGGTTCACTAATATTTTCATCTACAATGTTTAATCAACTATTAATTACATATAGTGTATTTTTAATCTCAGATGCAGTTTTCATTTCTACAAGTTTATTTTGGGTCTTTTTTATATCTTTAACATCTCTCTTTAGCATGGCAAATTTTTTTTCTTGTAGCTTTTTGAACATATAGAATACATTTATAAGAGCTCTTTTAAGTCTTTGCCCATTAATTATGTCATTTGGATTACCTTCCAGTTACTTAGGATCATTTAAAGTTTTTTTCATTATAGGCCATGTTTTCTTCCTTTTTTCCATTTTCAGGAACATTTTTATTTGGCATCTAAACACTGTGAATTTCAATTTGTTGAGTGATATATATATATATATATCTTTGTACACTATTACCAGTCCTGTTTGAGTCTTCAGGACTGTTTTTCTTCCTTGAGGACTGTTTCCCTCCTGAATATTTTTTTCTTGAGTATTTTTTCTAAATGTATGTAGGGCACATACATTCAGAGAACTTTGCAGAACACTTGAAAGGGACATGCTACAGAAGCTCTATCTATGTATGCATCCTTTTCCTCTGTTGCACTGCCCTGTGAACATCAGCTACCTTGTTTTCCATGGATTCCCAGTACTGTCTCTTTGACTCTGGGTGACATCTAGCATTCTCCTGGGTTTCTTGTTTCTGTGCACAGTCTAGAAACTTTCACTAGCCAGTAAGCTTAGGTTCTCCCAAGTCTTACCTTATTTGTGTATTATCTCACAGGAATCACTTTTCTTAATTATTGGATGCCCAATACCTTGAAAATGCTTTATATATTTTTTTCTATTGCTTTTTTTTTTAGCGTAGGGGAAATGTAGCTCTGGTTACCACATATTAATGACAAGTAGACTTTTATCCATTGGCATTTTACTGATAACTAATTAACTGTATTAAATCCTTTCTTATCTGTAAAACCTAAAATTGTTCCTGTTTTACTAATTGAACATTCACTATTCATACAACTAGAGTGTAAAATAAAATAGATATGAACAAAAAAGGAAGCTAACGTTTATTAATAAGTACTCTTTCTGGGAAAATTGTGCATTTAGAAATCACACAGTAACTGTTAGCTGACTCTGAACATCAGTTATTTAATTTGATTTAGTATTGTAGTACCCCTAGAAGTGTACATGTATACATGATTAAATTGCATTTATTGGAGTGATACTGTATAAGTATATAAGGACAGGCTGCATGAGGAACCAAATAAATTCTAAATTTATTTCAACAATACAAAATTTAAACATTGGATTTTTGACATACAGTGGCTAAAAAATTACATATTATCTCAATAATAATTAGAGCCTCTACCTCACATGGATTGCCTTATATTTAGAACATTTTTAAAAGTAAAAACTACAGAACTATACAATCTATTATAAAAGTAGACCTTAGTGTTAAACTTGAATTTTCAATAATCTCAGTATCTGTTCACAGGAATAATTATAATTAACTTTCTGTCTGGCCAGAACTTATCTAAATGTCTTTGAGTCTTTAAGTGTGCACATATGTGTGCACTTATGTTTTTTCATAGAATTGTATTGATACTATATTGGTAACATGCCTTATGAATCAAAAAGATTTATACTTTTTTATAGTACTGAGGATAAAACCCAGAGCCTTGCAAGTCCTAGGCAAGCACTCTACTACCGAACTACATACATCCCCAGCCCAGTTTGATACTTTTCCTACCCTTTACAAATATAGTGTTTGAGAAAACATAGACTTGTAATTTATGTGTTTGTGAAGACTTTCATAAAGAAATCCTGTATCTCTATTTTCACACCATAATCATTTTGGCCTATCCAAAGATGATATTTCTGTATCTGTTAAGAATTTGTTTATTAAAAAATCACTTTTTAAAAAATGATATAACCAGTTGTGTACTGGGTCCTTTAACACTTCTTTTCAAGAGCTGAATAGTATCATGGCTTAGTAATTGTGTAAGTACTGTCACATATGTTGCTTGAATTCACCATGGGAGTATTTGTCATACAGAAATAAGAAAATGGTACTAATTAGAGCCTTTTATCTTGTAGAACCAGTTATCATACACTCACTAGTTTACCTATAGGTATAGATATGCCAAATAACACTATACTCTTAAAAGAAGATGCAGATAGATAAGGAAAAAGTTAAATCATAGAAAATATGTGTATCATATTCCCATTTTTAAAATAAGAGTCCTACATAGTGCTTATTTATATATGTCAAGGAAACATTTGTAAAGACTGGAGTTACCTTTGAGAAATGTCTGGGAAGTGATGTGAAAAAATTGTTAAAATTTTATAAACATTGCATACTTCTAGATGTTTATAACGAATCTGCTTCACTTTGGTGATTAATACACACACACACACACACACACACACACACATATATATATATATTTATACTAATCTATATTTTTTCAAGGAAATAAATTTATTATGTAGGTACTGCCTTAAAGAAATTAAGATAATAACTGTAGTGGAAAACATCTATTTACTGTTTACAAATAATTAGATGTGCACTGTGCTAGGTATATTTCAATCATCTAATTCCCACAAACACTCTGTGATGTGGATTTTATGGTCCTTATTTTGTAAAAGGATCAAATGAATTGGACAGAAGTTATATCTAACTCATGATCAGATGGGTAATTTGTGTGTGAATGTCTGTTTTTTAATTTATTCTTTTTAGTTATATACACTAGGATATATGCTTTAAAGCTATCTCCCTTTGACTTAATGAAGAATTTCACTTGTTTGATTTGGAGCTTCTGATTGCAATTCTTATCCCAGAGTGAATGACAATTATTGATACATGCTGGTTGGCTAGGTTGAGGAAGGATGGAGTTGTAATAGTGTTATCAGTGATTAAAGCTAAGTATAAGAGACAGGTGAGACTAATTGAAAATGGAGATTATGTCTATAATTTCTAATCAGAAAAGAATGACGTTGGAAAAATGCTAGGTGCAAAAATCATACAACAAACAAAACTACAAATAACTTGGCACATGGGTAAAATCAGGACAGCTGAGGCTTGTATAGAATATAACAGACTGTTAGGATAAGCCAAACTCAAAATTGTGCACCAGGAAGTGAGGAGAACACATGAAAAATATATATTAGTAATGAGATGAACAGTTCCATTACTAAGTATGTTTCTCATGTTTATGGG